CCCACTCCCTCCCCCCTCCCACCACTGATAACCCTAGATTTCTACTCTCTCTCTGAAAGAGTAATGGTTTTTCTGTTGATTTGTTGCCTAGATGATCTGTCCAATGCTGAGAGGTGTGTTCAGGTCCCCCAGTATTATCATAGAGCAGATGCTTCTTCTGTCAGTCTGGAATGGGCTTTGAGGGGAGAAACATCCTCTTCTTTTCTTAATCTCTGCTGGTAACTCTCCTTGTGTCAATGCACTCCAGTGGCTGGTGGACCATCCACATGGTGGTTGTGATGTCTAGTCACTTTCACAGCAGCTGTGGTTACTGTGGTGGCTGTGGTGGGACACCCTCACAGAAGTGATGTTTTTGGCATGCTCCTTGGTGCTGGTGATGTGCCTGGTTGTGGGAGGGGGGGGTCCGAATCCTAACTCTATGCTTCGGATCCCCGGGTGGGCCCCGAGGTGTTGGACAGTATGCCAGGTTGTGGGAGTGGGGTCTGGTCCCTGACTCCATCCCTCAGGTCCCCTGGAGGGCCCAGAGGCACTGGTGGTGTGCCTGGGATGGAGCTAATTTTTTGTCCTTTGCTTACTTCTAAAATGGGTGAACTTCCTGTGGTAACCAGTGCTTGAGCTGTGTTGGTTGAGCTAAATTGCTGCTTTGCTGCCGTTTCCCTAGGGAAGGCTTTTTGTGCAGATGAGGGTTTAATGGTTGACCTTATAGGTACTTCTGGCTCTCCAGAGACCCGGTGCACCTGGGTTGTGTAGAAACTCTGATCTGTGCCTGAATCTTTTCATCAAACTGCAATCCATGCAATTCTATATTCCTGACCAGTTTCCTCTGAGTGGTCCTGTGCCGATGGGGACAGATCAGCTGTCCTTGCCATGCCCCAGTGTTCTCCCAGTGGGCCTGTCTCCCACACCACCTATGCTCCAAACACTTCCCATGGGATGAGCCTTGCACCAGTCCCCTGCAATGATTCACCAGCTTCTGAGTGGCTCCCGTTTTTTAAGTTGTTGTGGCTCCTCACTCCTGTGTGGGTCCACGAGAACCCTACTAGTGGTTTTGCTGTCCTGGGGGCCACCAAGGGCCCTATCTCCCCTGCCGCCTCCAAGCAACTCCATCTGAAGGACACAGCTGTAGCTTTTGCCATCTCCTGCTCCATGTGCTCAGCAGCTCCAGCCTTAAAGTGGCCATGGCCTGAAATACTCCAAGCAGTTTTTCTTTCTCTCATCGTGGCTTCTCCTGCCTTCATGAACTCCATAGGTCTCTCCTCCTCTTCCCCTGAGCTCTAGCAGCCCCAGCTTGGCTGATGTTGCTTTTTTATAGTGGTAATTGGTTGATTTGTGAGAGAGAGTGATGCTGGGGACCATCTATTCCACCATCTTGACCAGAAGCCTAGACAAGCCTTTAGAAACATTTGTTTAGGTAATATACTACAGTTTTTTGAAAAAAAAAAAAAAAAGTAGTCTGAACATGACATATTAAATGTGTTTGGTAAAGAAACATTCTTTCTCAGAGACGTTTGGGAAAATTCTACAAATACATTGTGTGCTTTCCTGCTGTCTGTGGTAGTGGACTTTTTACATTGCTACTTGCTTAAATTATCAGTGCTTTTCTTCTCAGTTCCAGTCTGCCCCCCCCCGCCCCCCAGCCATATCCATTGCCCATATTTCTAGAGTTAACTATTAAATGCAGGTCATAAAGCACAGAAAATCTTTTGAACACTCTCACTTCCTGGAAGATAAAGCCTGGAGTCCTCATCATAGTATTTTAGGTTTTTGCAATATTCTGACATATCTCCTCTCTTCTGTTTTTCTCTCTCCCTATATCTTTCTCTCTCTTTTATAGATAGATAGATAAATGATAGAAGATACATAGATATCTTGCAAAATTTACTATTTTTCCAATACAGCACTTTTAGTATTTCAAACTCATTACCAAATGTCTGGATTGCCCAGTTCTCTAATGTTCTTTTTCCTGCTAATATCTTGACTATTTCCATTTTTATCACCTCTCCCCAAAATAATGCCCTTTGATATTTAAAGGATCTTTGACACTTTATTTGTACTGTGTATTGTCTTTAAGTTGTTGGAATTTTAATATTTTATTTGTGGTCTAGTCATTCAACAGACAAGAATCAAAGGCCTACCCTGTCCTATTTGCTATACAAATGACTAATACACAGACCCTACCCACAAATATCCCAGAAATATTGTGGGCCAGACGAATATTAACTGCAGCAATTGTGACAATAATTTAAATCAAGCTGTGTATAAGCTGCCATGCTACCCAGTAGGAGAAGTAATCATTTCAGGCTTAGCACAGGGAAGAGAGAGAGAGAGAGAGAGAGAGAGAGAGAGAGAGAGAGAGAGAGAGAGAGAGAGAGAGAGAGAGAGAGAGGGGTGAG